TTTTTTTTTTTTTTTTGGCAGAACCGGGGATTGAACTCAGGCCCTTGCGCTTGCCAGGGAAGTGCTTATTCCACTGAGCCATCTCCCTGGCCCCTACTTTTCTTATTTTTATTAGCACATGTTTTCAGTACATAGTTACATTCATCACAGGGAGTTGGTACATGTACATAACACGTTTTGTCTTTTTTTTAATGTTTGTGTATTTGGTACAGGGTCTCACTATGCAGCTCGGACTCCTATTGATCCTCCTGTTTTAGCCTTCCCAGTTCTGGGATTACAGACATGCGCCACCATTCATGGTCTCAGTGATGGGCTCAGCGCACCTGGGAGCATGGTGATGTGACATGCGGTGCTAGGGATCGAACCCTGGGTCCCTGCACTTGCCTAAGCAGGCACTTAGATTGCTGAGCTATCTCGCTGGCCCTATAAAATACATATCAATTCCTTTCTCACCTCTTTTTTCCTCCCCTCCCTCCTTCTCTCACCATCTCTCTGTTACCTTCCCTTTTGCAAAAGATACATTTCCCTGTTTCTTACTATCTTTCTTTTGTGCTTTAATTTATTCATACAGTGGGGAGTCTCATGTAGGAGAAACTGTATGATATTTAAGCTTGTGTGTCTGATTTATATCACTTAACATTAATGCTCCATTTTCCTACCAATTAAATATGTAATTGTTATAGTTTAGGTCTAGGACAGCCCCCACGAGCCTCATGTGTTCAGAGGTGGGACTCTTGAAAACTGACTGGACCACGGCGGCTAACTCCGCTGAGGCTTTCCTAGCTGGCCTACCTGGGCGTGGCCTGGAAGTGTGCCCCTTGCAGCTCCTCCCTGCACACTCTGCTTCCTGACAAAGGGGGCAGCTTGCTTCCCCAACGTCCTGCCTGTATGCCTTTCCTGCCTGGCACTCAGGTGACTCTGGACTAAATCCTCTGAATATCATGAGCCAAAGAAAACCTCCCTAGGCCGGGGAGCTAGCTCAGTAGAATAAGTGCTTGCCTGGCAAGCGCAAGGTCCCGAGTTTGATCCCCAGCACTGCAAAAAAAAAAAAATGGAAAGTAAAGCTCTCCTCCTTTAAATTATGAGGGTCTGAGCCACTACGCTGAGGACAGCAATGTGCACTATGACAACTATGCTTGGATACCTTTCATCTTGTTGCTTTAAATATGTACCGTCTCCAATATCTTATCTATTATTATTATACTCCCTTTGAAATAAATTAAAAAAATAAAAAGTAAAAAGGACAAGGGAAACAATTAAGATTTATTGAAAGGAAGAGTTAATGTTTAATTGTTTGAGCAATCTGGCATATCTATATTGTAATCTAAGCAACAAATTTGATGATGACGACATGTAATATAATAACAATGGTTAATTGTTTATTTTTGTTTTGAAATTCTGTACCATATGTATTGGTTTATATTGTTATTTCTGTCTTTGTTCTTGTTATTTGTTTTTGTTTTTCCTCTTTCAAATAAAAATAAGTAAGTTACGGGTGTCAGATTTTTTTTTATGTATTTAGGACAGGGTCTGCAGGGTCTCACTACGTAGATCAGACTTGCAGTGGTCCTCCTGTTTTCACCTCCCAAGTGCTGGGATTACAGGCGCACACCATGACACGCAGCCACAACCAAGTCTCAGTACACCCCCAGGGGCGGGGCGGGGCCAGCACCGTGTGCCGGGGTCCAACCCCTGCCCCTGCGTCTGCTGAAGCAGGCCCGTGGGTTTCAGGTGTGATGTCTCAGTGACGGAAAGCTAAGACAGTCACAGCACTTGAAGAGATCCTGTATATTATTTCACTGAAGTTGGAAACTCAAATTATAAGGTGAATTATTAATAATTTGAATTATTATTCTTTTCTGATGAGTGGAACTCTTTTTTCACCAACAGACACTATTACAAAAATAATGTCATAAATCTCTATTTCTCTATTTCTATCTCTATATCTGTGTCTCTATCCTCTTATTCAGCCTCAATGCTAAAAGGGAAGATTCTTCAGAATCTCTTGATATGCAAGCCTAATTGTAAGAATCAGGTGGTCTGTACAAATGCAATAAACAATTCTAACTTTTTCAAAGAAGACAAGCTGAGCCTAGCTAGTTCTTGGGTAGAACGTGAGTTCTAATACTCCAAGAGACCCCGCAAAAGCCCCTCCACCTGTGGCTTGGGTGCCGAGGTGTTTCCCAGGCTATTTCGTAGCGGTTTCCTCATCACTCAGATCTCAGCTGCGTTCTTGCTCACCTTCTCGGGGTAACCTTCTCTCTTCTCCCTGTATATTAAACTTTTAGTTGTTTTTTTTTTTTTTTTTGCGGAACCAGGGATTGAACTCAGGCCCTTGTGCTTGCCAGGCAAGCGCTTATTCTACTGAGCCATCTCCCCGGCCCCCAAACTTTTAGTTTTGGAGGGACTATTAGATATAGCTTTTAAAATTCTGTGTGCTGTGGTTTTAAGTGTCCCCAGCCACTTAGGCGTTGTGGGCGTGGTCTCCAGTGCAGGAGTGTGCCGAGAGAGGACCTTGACCAGGTGCTTTCGTCATAGCAATCTGACTTCATCAATAGATTGAGCTTTGATAGTTTCATAGCTTAATGGGTGTGAGGGCAGATCTCTGTTATAAAAGCGAGCTGTTTTTCTGTATCCTGACCAACATGACGTGAGCATTTTCCTCCACCGAATGCTTCCACCATGATGGTTGGGTTTTTGTTTTTTTTATTTAGGACAGGGTCTACAGGGTCTCACTACATAGATCGGACTTGTAGTGATTCTCCTATTTTCAGCCTCCCAAGCGCTGGGATTATAGGCATGTGCCACCAGGCTCAATGGCTGTCTCAGGGTGCCCCGGGGCTGGGCCGGCACGGCACTCCAGGGACTGAACCCTGGCTGGCCGCTGCACTGTGCCTAAGCAGGTGCTTTAGTCCACTGAGCTATCTAGCCTGCCCCTGCCGTGATGTTTTGCATTGCAACCAGCCTAAAAGGAATTGGCCTGAGCGACCACAGACTAAGACCTGTGGAATCAAGAACCAACTCAAACATTTTATCCTTTTACTTAAAGATGTGTTTCCTTTTGTTTACCTCAGATATTTTATCACCATGACAGGAAGCTGACTTCCAATATGCACCTACTACTTTTTAAATTAAGTTAAAAATAAATGTAAATATGAATAAATAAAATACCCACTCTAATCATTTTGTTTTGTTTTCTTTATTAAAGTCATGATTATTCTCTTTATCCATGTTTGCATATTTATTATGCTTCCCACAGAAGGGATTTGTTTTCACGATCCCATGTCTGCCATTCTAGCCAGCGTACCCCGCACCTCCAAGGTATCTTGTACGTTGTATACATACTATCGGTAAGAATTTGCTAAATGAATAAATTTCAGTCATCTAAGAGATAAGCAGTGTCTCTTTTTGAGTATGGTCACATGCATTCACTTGAAAAGAGTGTTTTGCTTATACATTTTGCGCAAATTGAGTTTTGGTTCTCCTTGAAGATGTTACTGCCAGTACCCATGCACAAACAAGAAAGTGTCAGCATCCCGATGCAGCTTACAAAGATGGCAGATGGGTTAGTATCTACTTCAGCATATAAATGGTAAAGTTCACTGCAAAGTGAAAAGTGCAAAGTGAAATTAATGTTGATGTGGATCTGAAGGCGAATATCTGAGTTCTGTTTTCTAGGCAGTAGGAAAGAGAATAACGGTTGACGCTGCCGGTGAAGCTAGAATGTGAGACTCCAGTAGAGTGGTCTGTAGCAAGGGCAGAATGGAGGAACGTAAGGTCCAGTTGCCTGGAGACTACTAATACGATACGATACGTGGGGAGGAGAAAGTGATTAAGGCAAGGGCTTTGGAATTAGGGTTCTAAATAATAGCTCCTGTTGATTGAGTGCTGTTATATGCCAGGCCACTGTCTATAATTCTTATAGAAATTTCTAAGATAGGTATTTTTCTTAATCCTTAAGACACAGTACCTGACACT